CTTTGCTGCTGTAACATTGGAATCAGCATGCCGCTGAAGTACAAAGCAAGCATTCAAACTTATATTATCTGTGACATATGTAAAAGAGAATAACTTGCATTTAATTTCCTAGACGCCTGACAATATAAATCAATAACAATGGCAAAATACCTTATATGTTTTATCTGTTCACTGCACCTTATATTTTTATTTTTACTTGCACTACAATTATACAGCTTATTTATACATTTTATAAATCATCATTTTATATTGCTTTTTTTATTTATATGTCTAGGTTGTTCTTTTACTTATTGTTGGTTTTACTGTTTGTATTGTGGGTGAAATGCCTGCTGCTACCAGCTGCCAATTTCCCAACCACATTAATGAGACAAAATATCTAATACCTATGAAGAAGCCAAAAGGCCTCCAAGAGTCTCATCCTAAAAGCCCCTAAAACCCCGGTTTCACTTGTGTGTCAATTGGTTTAACATAAAAGTAACTGGCACCCAGCCAATCTGGAGTAAGGTATTGTCTACTGTGTGCTCTATAATTGGTAGGTTACAGCACACAGCAAATATTTTGACACACAGTAAGAAAAGTCTCCACGGAGCCGTCGTTAATGTTCTTAGTAACACCTCCTGGATGCAAAGAAGTTGTCTACTGAGAAAAGCATTTTCCACCCAACAATAATAAGTTCTCTGGTGTTTTCCTAGTTCAATCAACATCACCTGCACCTGGTGTATAACCTTCTGTTACTCTGATAACTCTATTGTGTGCTTTATTAAAACAACCCCTATGGTGGCCGTCGTTCAGCTGCAGCTTAACAAAACACAGCAAACAAATGTCACGGCATGCAATGGTGGTGGAATGTAACTGAGTACATTTACTCAAGTACTGTATGTAAGAACAATTTTGAGGTACTTGTACTTAAGTATTTACATTTTATGCCACTTTATTCTTCTACCACATTACATTATACTGAAATACTGTACTTTTATTGCATTTATCAGATGGCTGCTTTCTTAAACTTGATCAAAGTTAAATATTCTTTAACTTGTTAAATAACGTCAACCAGTTCTAAATACCGATGTCGTCCGATAATGTCAGCTAAACCGATACATCTGACAGCAAATAAAATCAATAAATAAATTCGGATGTGTTGTTATAGATTCAGCTGCAGAGCAGAATATAAAATAATTAAAAATAGCTTTTACCAGCTGTAACATTAAAGCATCAATAATTATGATCTAATTATAGAATATATTAATATTCTATTATGTTTTTGCTGCTAGTATTGTAGAAGATCATAAATAAACTTTAACAGCACATCTTACAGGATTTAATGTGGAACTGACTGACTTTAATTTAATTGTAGTTTAATTGTAAAACTGTTTATTCAGTCTAAATGTTTCTATGAAAATAAATCTTGATTAATCTCAAGGTTATTGATGTCTGTCAAACTCATTTCCCCACATCAAAGCCAGAAGTTTTATTCAAACTTTATTTCCATTCATGCAGAGAGCAGAGAAAAAAAATCGCTTTTGTCCAAAAGCATAAGTCAGCAAATTTTAACATCCGATCCACCCCCCCAGTTTCAATACTTTAGCGCAGTATCTCATATTATTTGCTCAAAAACAACAGATGAGATATAGAGAGAGAAAGAAAATGCGTGAATTCATCAGTTTTTGGCCTGAATATTCAGCACGTTTGTTCTTCTGGCGGCTTCTTTTTGCTTTCAGCATCTCCTCCTCAGACGTTCATCGCCATCATCAGGAACTGAGAGGCAAAGAGAAAATAAAGTTACATCAAAATAACTTAAATAAAGTCCCAGAAACATTAAAAGCTAAATTAGGTATTAAGACAATTAATTTTTGGTTTTACCTGCATGATGTTCATGTTCACACGTCCTCTCTTGAATTTATCCATAGCCTGGAAAACTCCTGGTACAGAGAAAAAGTTTCAGTCAACACAAAGTGGAAAATTACTTTCTTAAAGGCGCCGTATGTAGGAAGAATGTTATTATTTTTTAATATATTATTCACTTTGTATTGCCAATTTGTGAACGTTAATGCAAAGCTTGTGAAATGGAAATACCTATGTTATTTGGCTAACATTAGCTTGCAAAATTACTTAAATAATTATCCTCACAGCTGTCGGCAGTTCACTTAAAGGCCACCGGTGTCACTATTACCAGTCTGAAAGTTACACACAGAACCTTTAAAGTTCAGTTTAATGCAGTTAATGTAAAGCTAGCAGAGGATTTTTTTTACGTACTGAACATGTTCTCAAGGCGGACGATGCAGGTGAGGTAGTCATCAAAGTCGATGTCGTAGTTGTCGTCAGCAAACCTCAAACCGATGAGCTGCAGGAGCTGGTTGTTCAGCTGCATACCTTCATGGGAACAGAGCGGCCACCGTTAGCCTTCAAAACCACCATTATGTCACTAATACGGCTCCTATTAATACTACAACAACTACTTTTACTCATATTAATACAAATAATGATAAAAGGAAATATAACTGATCCACAGTCACAGGTAAATCCTGTGAAATAAACACCTAAAATATGATAAATAGTATAATAACATACTTAAAAACACTTCTTGTATTGTATATATTGGTAAATATATGTTAAATGTATGTGAAATAGGTTTTAAAATGGCAATAACTGGTGTATTCTTACATAATATACTACACACTATGTAAATATACAGTATTTCGTAATAGAAACATCAAAAACAGTGTTTTATAATGTGCAATATTGAGTATACGATATACATTGTAAGTTTGGTTTTGACGAACTAACTCAATGGTCCACTTACTAGCGCTTTCTGACTGAATCTCATGGTCAAACTCTGTCCACTAAGAACGACTGTGAGCTAGTAAAATATTATTTTTGTCTACTTTTTTGGTTCAGTAAATGTCAATATGTCACATCTCCATACGTGGAGAAGTCATGTCCTTTGCGTGTTTGCCATTAAAACATTAAAATGAAAATGAAATGAAGATATTAAATTAATTGTGTCAACAGTTCTCGACTCTTACCTGCGGCCTTGAGAGCGCTACGAAGCTCATAGGACGACATCTTCCCCGAACGATCGGTGTCAAAGGACAAGAAGAGCATCTGCAACGACGGGAAAACAAATAAATTATTATATAACTACTGAACAGGATAACATAAATATATATATATATATATATATATATATATAACCAGTATATGAATTCAAATCATCCACATTGACAATATCATTATCAATATCACAGTGACAAACACATTAATGCACCAACCACCAATGCGCCTTATAATAAATAATTTCTGCGCTGTCATATTATTACTTTTATTTAAGTAAAATATCAGATTTACAGTTTTTAATCCACTTACAATCCACTTCTTCATCTTCTCCCAGAAGACCTTGAACTCTTGAAACTCCAGCTTCCCGGTGTTGTCCACCTGGTTCACTGTCAAGGACAAAACTTTGCAATGTGGTAATAATTTATCTTATTTTACGGGAAGAACAGACGCCGTCACACCGCCTGTCTGTCTGTGTGTTAGCAATAAAGTAAATATCACAGTCAGTCGGTGATGTGGAAGGATACATCCATCAGGTTGATAATACTGTGGCAGGTGCTGAGAGTCAGGCCATCAAACTTGATTTCTTTTCCTGAAGATAAAAAAAAAAAAACAGTGAATCGTTAAACAAAATAATACAGTAATATTGACAACTTCTTTTGGTTAGTACGGTTGCTTTTTGTATGTTTATGTGTGTCACTAGAACAATAAAACACTTTTACAGGACTACAAGCTACTTCTGTGTCTTTTACATGTCTTATGACTCAATTAATCAATAAATCAGTGGTTCCCAACCTGTTTCCTTAAGGGACATTTTCTATCATTGAATAAATAATTGAATAAACATACAACAAGACATATTTTATGGATGTTTCATATTATATTCAAAACTGTACAATGAACCCAAACAGTGAACTCTGGAACTGCAGGAAGTTTGTGTAAAACGAGAGATTTGGATGAATTTTGAGCAGATTATTTCCTGTTTAGTGAACTTTTTATACAATTCTCTGTCTTTATTATGTATTTT